ACAGATATGCGCTAGTAGGCACACTTGCATTTATGAGCGCGGGGGCGGCCGCAAGCCTTGGCTCTTCTCTCCATAGAAGCAATGTGAGCAAAGGGAACCCATGACAGGTCCTGCACTGTGCCCTTGAGGTCTGCTGAAGACCCTCCTTTCTCAAGGGAGGCACAGCCATGCTTTGAGGTGTTCCTCCCTTTATTCCTACCCACCGGTCGGTCAGCAAAGATGTGCTGAGATACAAATGCCCCTGTGGTCCGTGCAGCTCCAAGGATATAGGGAAAGGAGCAGTCACAGGCAGTCACAGAGCCATTGCAGCTTCTTCTACAGGAGAGATAACTCCTGCAGCAGCCCTGCACACAGAGGGTACCAAAGGGATTTTTTAAACAAATTCCTCATTCCTCCATGTATCCTAGCAACACCTCTCCGAGGTTAGAGATGCGATGCCTTGCCCACCTGTTGCATAGGAAGCCTGAGGCAAGTTACATATTGCTTTCTTCCCAGCTCGCCCCACTAGTACAATGCCGCAGCAATTAAGAAATGTGCTACAATCTGAATACCCCAGTCTTATCCACTCAGGCTGGATGTCACACACAGGCGCTTGCATTTCTAAACACCATGAACTCAGCAGTGGCTCATGCAGTGTGCGTGTGGTCCAAGGAAAGGTCTTGCTGGCACAGGCTGAGGGCTTCATGATCACGGCAATAAAAAGGGGGTGGCCTTAATCCCTGACACAAAAAATGCTTTATCTGCAGTCACACAGCGCTGAAGGAGTTCAGGCCCTGAGCAGGTATCTAAATAAGATTTCCAAAACCACTATAGGTCCAAAATGTGCACAGTGAACAAAACTAAAAGAAAATTCGACTCCTCCCATGCACTTTCCTCAAACCTGATTGAGCTGCAATATAATTATAGTAAATGAGCAGTCCTTGTAAAAAACAAACCAACCAACCCCCAAAAAACCCCCAAACAAAAAAAACCAACCCCAAAACCCAAAACAAAACAAGGACCTTGTTGAAAAGCAACCTTTTTCATAGGGGATGTCATTCTTCTCCCCCCCCGCCCCAAAGCAACCCTTAGCATTTTCAGTTTCTTGTAGGGGTAAAAAAGCTATTGAAAATGTTACAGAAGTGATCATAGAACTTTAAAATTTTGTTTTACAGAACAATTAAAAATAAATTTAATCAAAACTTTAAAAAACCCTATTGCAAATATCTGTAGGAGGGGAGCTTTACAATGGATCACTTCCTACACCCAGTGAAGATAGTTCTTTTTTTCTCCTGCCCATCAAATTAGATTTGCTTTTTTTGGCTATCACTGACCAAATAATTTCAGCTACAATATGCATTTGTCACTTGAACCTCAGTTATCATAATTTATAGTTTATCTGCATTCTTTCAAAACAAGAAAATAAGAAACTACAGATTTTGCTGCTTTTTTGTGTTACTGAACTAATCACTACTAAGTCCATTTTATTCTAATATATTCAAGGAATTCAAGGCTTGCACAGGCACACGCAGGGGAACCTTTGTCTCCAAGGCCAATAGGGGAGATGAGGTTATCACTGCTCAGTCAAAGATACATCATTTGCTGTAGATCTCTCTCATTCATCTTCACTCAGAGGAAAATATGGGAGACTTCATAAGTGGTTTTGGCACTTGTGAGTTATCCCTCTTTCCCCACTCATGAAGATAAATGCCGTAATGAAAAGCAGCCATCAGGTATTCTCTATATTCGGAGTGCTCAAAGTGTGAACAATGATTATGCCCTTTCATTGGGTAAGTTAAGGTTGACTGCCTAGCTACCTGGGGAAGACAGGAATGATTTGCACAAGCTCACAGGGAATGCATGAAAGAAGGTGACATACCTTCTCCCTCAGCATTGGTTATTCTGCTAATCTCAGGCTGAATAATACATTCAGTACGTCAAACCTTCCTTTTTTACTTTAAGGCTACTTGGCAGCTGAATCTGCAAGCTGAGATGAGTCCAGCTGAGATGGCAGCAGCCACTTCATTAGTTCAATGTCTGTTTATTTTTGACACTTTTGTGGAACCATCGATTAAGTTTTTATAACAAGCGAGAAAAGGATTTTTATAGGTAAGATGTTTTGCAAGTGTCACGTTAATTTTAGGACATGGTCCTGGCCTGCGCTACACAAACAAAACTCCCTTATGGGCTGACAGATGTCATGAGTGAGAACTGGATCATGTTTTCTGTGTGAGATAAAACTTACTGCCTTCATAGCTGTCATTTTTATTTGAGGAAATTCAAGCATTTAAAGTTACATTTAAATACGAAAACCTGATAGACATATCTGGCAATAAAAACACAGCTGTTAACAACTCACTGAAAATAATGCAATGGTACTGCACAGGAGGATGAAATCCCATCTCTGGTTAAGTCTGAGGATAATCTGCAAGTGAAAGCAGCTTCCTCCTTTACTCAACATTGGGAGCAGTGTTTGTATTTGTATATTTTGCAGTACCAGGCAGAAATACCCTTGGGACCCCATCATCCAGATAATACACAAATAAGAACAGCACTTCCCAAAATACTGTGAACAAGGCATAAGCCCTGGAAAGACAGTTCTGCACATGCAAAGCAAGAGTTAGGTTTATATTTTACTCAAGTGGAAGAGATGCACTGTTCAAAGCCAATCTCTTGAAATCTGCAGTGGACTAGAAGCTTGAAAGATACAAGCTCACAGGGGCGGCTTCATCTTAAATTTAATTACAAATCACTGGTTTTTTCTGATGCATTTGGTAGATGCAGGATCAGTTCAGACACAGCTGATCTATTGCAGCCTTGCAACATCACCGACTCCCACATCCACCAGTTATTTTTATGCAGCTACTAATGCTAAGGATGTGTTAGGAAAATAAATTAAGTATTAATATGCTCCAGGGAGAGCATTTGCAACAAGCAGCAGGTTGTGGGTTAAAATAGCCAGGTGCATCTTAACCAAGATACAAAATGGTCAAAGAACAGCTGCTGAAGAGACTCATGAGGCCCTGGCACATGCCATCTAGAAAATATTAAGAGTATTTTGAAGCACGCACTGGCTCATATTCAGCACCCAGAAGCTATTTTAAGTGCTCAGTGGAGACAAGCTAGTGTTATTAGGGCACTTTTCTTCCAAGAGACAACAATACATTTTGAGCCAAATAATCCCATCAGAGGGCTTTGTAAACACTTAAATCAGATGAAGTGGCTGTGATGATCTCATGTTAGGAAAGATTCAGAGGCTGAGCTAAGGCAGGTTTTCTTACAGCACCTGCAAAGAAAGTCAAGCTATTCGCTGGGCAGTTTTGGTGCTGTGCCGATCACAAACAAGCAGCTTCCAGAGAGAATCTCTGGAGTCAGAGGAACTGTCTATTGGCACAGGGCAGCTGGTTCAAGAAGAAAATCTTGAGCCAGAGCCTTCAAGATAAGTTTTTTCACCTTATTGAGCAGCAAAACCATAGCTAGATAAGCTATGGTGGAAATACAACCCTTGCTTCCTGGCAGAATAGCAGCCTCAGACCCAAGAGGAAAGGGTTCCAGTCCTTCTCTGGCCTTGGCCTCACATCACCTCTCTGTCTCAGTTTCACCCAGCCTAATGTCTTTTACAAAGCATTTTGAGACCCACGGACAAGTATTCGAAGAAACAGATAATACTATTATTACCCAATGCTATGGCTCTTTATTATTTGAAGGCATAGACAGTCACAATGAACACCCTAAATCAGAAAGATGGGAAGAAATGTGGCAACAGAAGAGGAGGAAATTGGATTATGACAGTGACAGAGAGAAGAGCAGTACATGGCAGGGATTTGGAGACCTTGGGAAGCACTCTGACATCAGCATGATGCTCTCAGTAAAGAAAATTGTGAAAGAGCCTGATAAGAGTCAGCCAAAACTGTTTTATTTTGTAAAATATTTCAAGCCACCTTTTCCCTCCTGTTTTTGAAAGCTTAGCTGTACAGCACAGCGAGGCTTGACCAACAAGGAACTGTAAGTCCTGTGTGCTGCTCTGAATACAGCGACACGAAAAAAGCAGAGAGTGAAGGGAGCCTAAATATAGTTCAGAAGGCTCCCACCTCTCCGTACTCAGGTTCAAACTCCACATCCAGCTCAGGTCAGTGATTTTCAGTCAGCATTTAGCCGCTAGCAGAAATAAGGCTGTTTCACAACCACCAAAGCTTAGGGTAGAAATGATCATAGCTGACGAGAAACCAGGTATAAATAAAATTCTTCCAGTGAACTCCCTAAAAAGAGTTTTCCATTGCCTGCACTTTATTAAGTTACAGCCCAGTGATATTTAGCCAATTTTTAATCTCCCAAACCACTGACTGTAGGATCCTCAGCTGGGAGAAATGAAACGTTGATCTACCCCACATCATGATCCAACCCTGAGTTTACAGATGAACATAAAACCATGGAATTGGCTTCAATTTTTGTCTCAAGAAAATAAGCACTTTTCTCACTATATATAATACACTATTTTTGCTTAGAAAAGAGATTTCTAAAACTAAATACATCAAAGATACAGTCTCCCCCTCCCATCCCCTTCGTCTCCCCCCACCCCCCAGTGCAGGAGCAATGGTGACACAGAAGCAAGAGCAGAGGCAGAGAGGATGCTAAAGCTAAGCTAACTTGGCAGAAAATACGTTACACCTGAAGCAACACACATGCAATAACCAAGGATCTCAAGGAAACAAACATGCTCATATTCTTGAAACTAGAGAAAAATGTTCATCTACTCTTTCAACAACTATTTTTGTTTCGAGTGCGCTCTTGGCATGAATTCCATACAAAGCCTTTGATCAGTACCAAGAAAATTACAGTTGTGATCCAAAAAAAGGAATGAAATGAAGTACCAATAAGCCTCCCAAACAACGTACAACTGCCAGCCTCTCATGGTACCTCTGTGATTTGCAGAATGCAAGTGACTGAGGGCACTGGGGCAAATATTCAACAAACTCATCTTTTTCTTACACTAATCCATAACATTGGCAAGTTTCACTTACCTGTCAAGTTCTTCAAGCCAAGTTCCCTGAGTCCAAAGTTACCATCCTTTCTGTAGTTAAGAAATATCGCCAAAGCATATCGCTCTTCATAGAGTTTGGTCCCACGAATGATGCGCAGGTTCTCCAATGGCAGGTATTCAAACTGATTCAAAGCCACCAAAACATAGCCTGTGACTTCTCGGATAGACTGAAAGACAAAAATTAAACAAACACATTAAATATGGTCCATTTTTAAGTGTTCTGAATATCTCATACAGTGGATGTTTTAGCATAAGATGCTGGTACCCAAGGAAAAAAAAAACCACACACACACACAAAAACAATTTTGGAAAACAAATTCTGTTTCAACTTATTGATTTTAACCACATTTCTGTTTCAATTTAACTGAGTTTATTAGAGATACTGGTTGGAATACTAGAAAATAAAGAGGTAGCCATTCTTTTCAGTTTTATTAAACTTGAGCAGAAATTCACAGTAAGTATTAGAGATGCACAAAAGGATGACTTCACACAACTCAAAGCAGAGAGCAGGTCAAAAGCCTCTGCAGGACAGTTCACATAAGACCGTCTGTCTGCAAGTAACTCTCTGTTGTACGGTATATTCTAGGGTGAGACCGAAGGCACACAACATCAGGTAAGAGAGACACCTATGGAAGAGCTCACTATTGGTGAGCTACTATTGGATGGCAGAAATGGGGAACAGGCTTGGAAGAGTAAATAAAGACAAAGCACAGATGTATTAACACTCACTTTTGTACTTCTAAATGAAATAAATTCACCGAACATTCGCAAAGAATTCAACTTCAAGTTTCATTTGGAAGTACTGGAACCATATATGTTACATATCCCAGACCTGGATCGAAATTGGTATCAAAACCTTTAGCAAAATGATTGCTGCATCTTTGGGTTGGCTTAAATCTTTCTTTGCTTTAGATGAACTACTCAATAGCCCTCCTGCTCCTACTCAGGAATCAATTGCCTGGGTTGTAAAGGACAAAAAAGACCCCAAAGCCCAGTAACTAAAAACAGTTTTTCAAAGGCCAAAAGATTAATGGAACTAAGATGTTTTCAGAAAGAAAAAAAAAGTTTAAAAGTATGCTTTTCTAGAAAACAAAGTTCATTCTAATCAATTCAAATAAACAGCCTAGAAATCTGCAAATGCTTTTGAAAAGAGTTGTTTAAACACTCGCGTAGAGCCCCACCATCCTTAGCTAGACTTCACACAGGCTGAGGGATGCTCCTGCCCAGAGCTGCTCCCAGTAATAGGACCTCCATGTTGGAAAGGGTCTCTCAAATACCGTTTTCAAATCTCACCTAATTCCATGCCTGCAACCACTATATATGTGTATATTTGTGTGTGTGTGTGTATATATTTAATGGACAGAAATTGATATAACTACTTGTGTGCTTAAGTGGATGCATGCACTTTTTTCTTCCCTTTGGCAAAGTCAATACCTTAAACAATACACAGAAAGAAAAATTCTCCTTAGGATAACGTGCACAGACTATAACTAACTTGATGGGGACTTCAGTCAATACCATAATAAAAACAAACAGGCAAACAATAGCAGGCCTCGAATTAAATGAGTTGTGTATGTATCATTAATGGAGAAAGGCAACATGGATTTGCAGCACAAAGGACAGGCTTTTCCTTTGCTGGTTCAGCACTGTTGCCATGATTTCATATATAAATATGCAAGAGCCTTTTAATTAGGTTTATAAAAGCTCATAAGATTATTAACAAGCATGGCAGTATACATAAGGAAGGATTTATATGCCACAAATTCTAGGCACTAGCTGTCCTTCCAAAGTCAGACGTCTGTACTCAGCTGAAGCTGCTAAAAAAGCTCTGGAGCTATTTCAAGACTTGCTTGGCATCTAAACAGAGCACAGTGTCATTACAGGTCTTTGATGAGAATCCAGTGAGTTGAGCTAGGTTGAGAAGTACAGTTCAGTAGCTCAATATTAAATGTAGAGCTGCATTATACCCTGGGACACTGATTCCATTATAATCAGAAGCTTTCCAGCACTTTCACGATAGCTCTTTGCTTTCAGACATTTCAGCTTAGCCAGTTTGGTCAGGAATTTGTTTTTTATCATATGCAAAAAATTTCCTGAAGCTGGCTTTCTTAGCCTTTCTTCAGAATTTATTATACTCATGGCTTCACTTTCTCCACTGATATTCTAGGGATACTCTGATTGCTCTAATTAATTTAAAGGGATGTTTAACTTGGAATTGAGTTGAAAAAAAAATAAAAGCAGTTCCAAAAGTGCATCTGACCAAGTCCTCCCTGCCAGCTTTTGTCACTTATAACCATGTTTTCTATTTTTAGGGGATGTCTTATTTACTGCCATACAGCAAGTTCACCTGAAAGAGCCCTAATTTAGCATGGCACTGAAATTACACACACACACACACACCAGCAAATCTTCATTCCAAAATTTAAACTTTAAAACAAAAAGGAGAAAAGGACAAGGTTTTTTTGCTGAGAATTGTGAACTGTCACCTCTAATACAGAACCCTTGGTACTTTGTTTGGTTTATCTGACTGAAATGACAAATTATGGCAAGTATTTTGACAAGTCAGAGAGTCCTTTCCAGTCTCGTGGCTTCCAACACTTATTTACTTGCTAGAGAAACTGCCATGTTAATCCTCACAAAACAAAATTATGAAAATAAACCTAAGGGTTTCTCATTTCCTAGAACGTAGGAATCTGACTGACCAAATCTAGTGGTCTGTTATATTAATTTGGGGTTTTATTTTATAAATCAAATTTTAATGAAAAAGGCAGGGCAACAACACGTTTTGCAGCCTGGTGTGTTTTCTGATTGGTCCAGCTTGAAAAAACATACTGGGAGTGCAGCAGGCAGCTCAGGTTTCGGCTGCTGCTGGCCAACGCTGTCACTTTGCCAGTCACTGCTACTTTTGATGTGATTCTTACTGAAAATGGACACCTGCCTGCTTGGAGTTCACTCCAAGCCCAGTTGGAGTCACTGCAAAGATGCCAGTTGTCTTCCATGCAGCCTCAGAAATCCTCATGCCAGACAGGATCTGCCAGCCTGATCTCCCCCTCTGCAACTCATGCCAAAGCTAGGCATGATTTGAACCTCTCATCCTTTGTATACAAGGCTGAGCGCTTTCCTGTTCAGGTATCCTGAACTCAGGAGCAAGCTCAAGTATCCTGCTGCTCTATTTGAGCTGCTTTTGCTTCAACATTGATCTGTGCCCCACCAAGAAGGTGGAGTGACTCACATCAGTGGTAGTTTGTGTGTCACCTTGTAGTTTGATTCTCCTGCTAGGGCTGGAGGTTCGTGCAGAAATACATTTCTCATGAGTCTGTCCCTCAGGGAAGGAAAAAAAAAAAAAGAGACAAGCATGCAAATAACTATATTTTTTTCCCCCATAACCTACAACGGGAATAGAAAGAGGCAGATTAATCATCAACAGACTTAAAGCTAAAAGTTTCTGGTGGGGAAAACCAAATGAATTCTGGCAATCTCCAATCTTGATTGTGATTTTGCGGGACTCCCCCCTAACCCCATTACAGCCTTATTTTGACTGGGAATTCCTGGCCGGCGTGATCTTGCCTTTCCTGGTCACCGTTCCAGCTCCTGAGACATGACCTGTTATGTGAAGAAGCCATCGAGTGAGGCAGCCACAGGCTCAGGC